TAGATAAAGTTTTGGAAAACATAAAGAATAAGGGTAAGGTATTCAGTAACTTATTTTCAATGATTTTAGAAGTCTAATGAACAATGGTGCAGATTTGTTTGAATATGAATGTGCAGTGGGATAGAGTTTGACCTTCAGCTGTGATTTCAGTTCATCAGGATTAGTCAAGCTAGGCGATCAAGACTGCTAATGCATAATGATTTATAAAATGAAAAATGTGTAGTGACCATGCAAATGTTTCAGCTAATCAAAGAGGGGAACTTTAGCTTTGAGAAGAAAGAAAAACAAGGGCATGTCAAGGCCTAAACCAAAGACGTATGTAAAATAATCTGAGCAGCTTGATTAGCCACAGTGAGATTAGAAGTTGCATTATTGGCCTTTAAACATATGGTGTAGCATATTATATATCACCTATAATCTCTACTACGGCAGAAGTACAGACAGCTTGTTTTCCACTAACTGTAAATAGAAATTACTTTAATCTTTCCTAAAATGTTTACGTGTAATTGGAGAAGTGCTCGATAACAAAAAAAGCTGTAAAGATAAAGTTCTATAAACAATGATTGCACAACAAAGCACACTCTGTTATATTAAATTAATTAAAATGTAGATAGATTAATAATAATAAATTAAATTCCACTGTAAACACGGAAAACAGGAGTCCTGATACAAAACTAGTATATCTTTGTTACTTTGTTAGTCTTCCTGTTGCATGTGTCTTAGCGTTTCTCTGTTGATAAATATTAGTACTTTGTATCATAATTTATATTTTCAGACGCATGTAACCTTATCTAAAGTATAAAATTGGGCAGGACATATACTTTATGTACGAGGATCATTATGTAGTCTTGTTCACTAGTTATGAACAGCTTACAAATATCATTTAGTTCATCTGAGCTCTTTTTAATACCGTAGAACCAGAAAGATTCAAAAGGTTATTATTATGGTAGATACTCTACACATATACCAAAGTGGGAAGAGAAGAAATGTAGTTGTTTCTTCTTTTAAAATAATTGTTTCCTGCTGGAGAGCCTGATCCTGCACTGTGTGTGGTTTCACAGCTACAATTATTTTTGAAAGAAGGATTGTACAGAGAGAAGATTCTCCATTAAATGTTTAATTACACATCTTTCAATAAGCCAGAGAGACTTGTCTTATTGAACAGTTCTGTTCTCAGATCTGCCACTTAAAGTATCATGTGACTTTGGATTAATTACTTAAAGGCTGTGTGACTTGTTTCCTCTCTCTGTAACAAAGAAATAATTCCTACCTACCTTGAACTGGCTCTGAATGCGACTAATATATGTGATTTTGTGACTCTCCTCAAAAGCCCTGAAAACTAAGGGAAAGTTTTGCATGTAATTTTCATAATCAATACCTGACTTTCAAAATAAAAGGAACTTGGAATAACAACAGTGTGTCTCCTTTGGTTGTACTTGTTTTAATCAAAGCCATATTGGTCAACATTTCTTGAAAATACGTGTGCAGTTCTTCAAGGCTTCTTAAAAATGTAAAAGTGTATTGCTGGTGCAGGCTGCCTATGCTGCTGTCCATTTATTCCATTAGGAATATGATTTTTGTGGGTAATGTAAAAAAGTATGAATTTGTATGAGTCATGTTATCGATTAGTGTTTACCTTGTATGCTTCTTTACAGGTAAAGCTAAATTTTTAATGTATGACGGAGGACTTGTGTTAAATACGCAAGCTCAGTCTCCACTATTTCTTTATTAAATTGATCAGGGGAAAATGCAGATGTTTTTAAGTCTTCAAAAAAGTTTTCTCTGTATTTTTGCAGCCATGTCCTTCTGGTTGCTCCAGGCTTAATCTGGCCTGGCTTTGAACACTGCCAGGGTTGGGGCAATTTCCAATCTCAGTGTTTTCATTCTGAGTCATAGCTCTTCTTTAATTAGTGCATTCACATGCACGTGTCGTAATAAAGCAGTTTACAGTCATTCTTGCCTGAAATGCTATTTAGATGTGTTGAAAAATTCTTTGTTTACATATCTATAGTTTTGTTCAGTAGGACTTACAAGCGAGTACAAAGAGATGATGGACAGCCTGCAACAAAAACATGAGAAATTCTTCAAATCTTGATGGACCCTATGTCAGGGTCCATCATGGAGCCAATAGATTTGCATGTGCTTCAGAGAGTGTCCCACTCATTGTGTTTTGTAGGGTTGCTGTACCCAGTCATCTTCATAGCCAAGCTGGGAGTTCAATTTCTTTGAAGATGCCTTGCAACAAATAGTTGTAGTCATAAGTTATATTTCACTTTGTCACTTCAGTTTTTCATGAGAGGTTTGACCAAGAATTCGTTGAGACATTATGGCCCACTCAAAGGAGCAGCCATATATTTCCACTGAGTCCCTCTACTTTCCTCTGCCTGAACTGATTGAGGGATTTCTATGAAAAAGTGCCAGAGATTGCCTCTCTGCTACATTTTTGTAAACTCAGGTTGAAAATCTTGAAAAACGCAGACACTAAATGAAAGAAATATACATAATGCACATAATTGGCCATAAAATAGCAGGTTTTGGCTAGCACTGTAGCAATATGTCAGTAAGAAATAAAGTACAGTCTGTTTTATCACTGAAGGCTGTGAAATGTACCAGTTTATATTATTTAATGACAATTAGAGAAATCTCTGTGCTTAATACATTTTGCTAATGTAAAATTCAAGCAGTTTCAAAATGCCTCATCCTTTATCTGTGGGAAAGTATATATGTATCAGATATGATACACACATATGGATCCTCACATAAAATTCTTTTAAAGGCAATGTTATTGACACAAATCTGTATTTTTAATGATCTTGATTGCTACTTTTTTTGTGCTTCTGTGTATGATGCTGAAAAGCAGGTGTGTTAGGTTCTCTACTTCAGTTTATATAGTTGAAAGTGTTGAAAATTACAAGAAAAACAGATTTTGAGAGAAAAGCTGTTAGAGTGTACTGCAAAGCAGGCATGTCTCCAACTATAAGAGCACATAAACAGGGAGATACAGAGCAGATACTACAAAAGCTAGCAAAATTATGCATGGTAAAGGGGAATCTGTGTTTCAGCTGAGGAACTTCTTAGTGACTTCAGAGGGAATCGAATACTGAGTCCACTCAGTGAATTTTACTCTTTGCTCATGTATCCCAGAGTTGTAAAAACTCATTTGTCCTGCTCTTGTGACTAACTAAATGTAGACTTAACCTCAGGACTTGCTAAACTTAAAATCAAACGTTATTGTATAGAGATGTGGTGTTTCCAATGCTACAAAACTTCTAGGTGCTACGAAGTGTAACAAACAACATTAAGCATCTAAAAGTTAGGTGTCTACTGCAAGTGCATCTGCTCTCAATGGAGAGATACAGGCGCATTCAGTGGGGTTATTTCCATGCTAAAATAGATGCCTAAACTAAATCAGATAAACTTTGGTCAGGATTTCATTATTCTGTTGACTATAGAAGGAGCACAGTGATAGATGAGCTTAAATTTCTTCCCACAAGTGTCTGATTCTGAGTGGAAACTTCTTTTCCACTTGTATTTTAGAGTAAGACCTTCACAATTTTTGTTCTTAAAATCAATTTGTTGTTTGCAAAAGATTATCAGATTTTTAGTAATGGCTGGTATTTTTGCTTTCAGACTCTTAATTAGTCAGTGCTTTAAGACCATAGTTTATGCTGGGATAAATTCTATGTAAAGTGGTATTCTGTGTAATGCCTGTGTAATGCCAGATGAAGCAATGCCTTCTAAAAGTAAACCTCAGCAAACTTATATTTTTCTTCTATGTGTTACATTTATACAAAGCCTTTTGGGATAGAATCAAGTAATAGAAACATTCGAAGAGTTTTTGCTCTTAAGATTGGTTCATGGTTTAATTTATTAATAATAATATTATTTTTGCTGATTTACAGAAGACTGGAATGTCCCACAACATCTCATAAAGCAGTATTTATATGCCAGCTTGCTATTATATACAGAAAAAACATTTGAATTTTTCTAGACAAGCGAGTAGCTGCTCTTTCATGGGTGGAAAACTTGGCCTGCTGACAGCTGTTTGACTGTGTCCTGGTTAGCTGGAGCAATGGTCTCACACTGTGTCTCTGGCACAGTGGCTCGACACATACCTCAGGCTCTTCCGCAGGACTTTTCTCTCTTACATACAGAACCACACATACTTGCTGTGTCTTTCCAACTCACACATATATTTCTGAGAGCATGTGTTTAGGTAGGTGTTACACATATGCAGATGCTTGATCTCAGTGTATAACAAATGGAAAATAAAGCCATGCCCAAGACAGCACCTACATAAAAATGCATTCTTAGAGTTTACTGGACAAACTGATCATCTAATGTCAAGGTTTCCCAACTTCCAGTTTTCAATTAGGAGGGACCAAGAACACGATTCTCTCTGCAGAGATCAGGTGACTGAGATGGCAAGTCCTTGCTCAGTACTCTGATATGTCCGTAAGTTTTTATTTCTGTATAAAAGACTAGCTGAGAAAGAAGACTTTTCTTCTACTGAAATGATTTATTATGCAAATTTTTTAGGCTAACTGTCTTTATTGTGGAGAACATTTGCTGCTTTAAGATACTTATTTTGCTGTCTGTTTTAATCATATCCTTTGAAACAGTGTCAATAGATTTTTCTATTTGTCACATTATGACACTTGATAAGATGATTGATTATGAAGTGTTGAGAGCCCTGCCATGTGATCATTTATTTTTAAATACACATTTGTACTAGCCAGTGCTAAATTTCTTGCAGGAATACATAAGAGATGCAAAACATAAAGCTTGAGTCTGATCAAATTTGATGCCTCTGGAAATAAGAGTGCCACAGTAGTGTGGCCTTAAAATAACAGATTCTGACTGAAACTGGAACTTTGCAGTGATAAATACTATGTAAAAAGATTATAGTCCATCTTTGGTACAAAATAAAAAAGATGTACAGCTGTGGTGCAGACAAAGTAAAATGTGTTTGACAATGATATCTTCCTTTCCATGTGCAGGTGCCTGTGTCAGTGGCCATGATGACTCCCCAGGTGATCACCCCTCAGCAAATGCAGCAGATTCTCCAGCAGCAAGTGTTGTCTCCGCAGCAGCTTCAAGCACTTCTCCAGCAGCAGCAAGCAGTTATGTTGCAGCAGGTAATGTGGGTTACCTGCTTTGGACCGTTAGCACAGGGCACTCACACAAAAGTCAGCCTGATTTTATGGGCCTTCTTTTGTAATATTCCAGTTGTCAATACACCGAAAAGAATGAATATTAGTGTGAAACTTCTCAGTCTTTAAATTCCTTGTTTTAATTGCAGAAGTGTGAAATTGCATTTTGAAACATTAAATATTATATTAAAAACAGCAGCAGCAGCAGTGGCAGATGCATTACAAATACCAAACAAATTGAGATTTAAATTTGCAAGTGCTTAGGCACATTTTAATTGTAGACCTGCCAAAGGAAGTGCAAATAGAGCTGTAGATAATTGTTGCTTTAAAATTCATAACATATAGTGCTCCCTTTAGTCACAAAAATGATATGCAGTTGTGAAATTTGAACTTAACAGCTTGTTTCATCATGGGAAAAGTTCTTTATTTTGTTGGGTATTTTTACATATAAAAAAATTGTCCCAGATAAGGCTAAAAAGAAGGAGGAGGTTGCTGTTTCCTTAGCACAAAATCTGTCAGCTAAGTGAAAAATACATGAACTTGTTATTCATACAATAATGATAGTGTCAATGATCAGTGCCTCAGTGTAACACAGAGTGGATTCTTGGATGCATGCTTAATTGTCATACAGAAAATGATGTGTCTGTTTGTCATAGTCATAGCTCAATCGCTGAACTGTATGTTTAAACATTTTAATATCCACTACCATGATCATTACAGGCAATTCACCTTCACTTGTGAATCCAGCATCCTGCTAAATAGATTGACAGATTAATTACTTTTTTCCCCTCAGAAGCAGACAGTTTTGTTTGGCCTTAGTGACTTGTAGGTTTCTTGCAAGTGGATGAGTACAGCTTCTGATTTGTTATATAGGACATGTGAGGAACTTAGGTATAGTTATTTGAGGAGTTAATTTGGCTCTTGCATTCCCTTTAGAATACAGATTTTCTATACCCTTCTGTTTAGGATATTTTGGAATCTGCATTGGAAAATTTCAGAACGGCCTTGGAAAAAAATGTATGTAGATCTGCCTCTTCAAATCACATTTTTTGTTATGAGGTGATTCTTAATGGCTACGCTACCATATGCCAATCTAGAAGAGTTTAGGAGATTTATAATACGTGAAACTTTTGCCTTTATTTATTAAAGTCAAAATGGTTTATTCAGCAACAACTACAAGAGTTTTACAAGAAACAGCAAGAGCAGTTACATCTTCAGCTTTTGCAGCAGCAGCAGCAACAGCAGCAGCAACAGCAACAGCAGCAGCAACAACAACAGCAGCAACAGCATCCAGGAAAGCAAGCAAAAGAGGTAGGAGCTAAGACCCTTGCTGATGCCTACTAGACTGAGCTGTCAGAAGCTTGGAAAAGACAAGACCAGTTTAGATCTTTTCCTGTAGCAAGGATGCAGCTATCAAAGATTTGTTCTTATGTTTTTATGAGGCTTAATAGCAGTGCTGGTATAATTCTTCTGCTCCCCTTTCTGAGACATAGGATTTGAGCAGTCTAGTGCTGCTGTCTTCTAATGTTCACTAATGAATACGAGTGTGCAAAGAACAAGCCGTGTGGTGGACTCTATACTGATTATCTTGTATTCACAGGCAATCTGTGTTGGGGAAGGAGCCTTACTTTGCTCAGTGGCACAGCTCAGAGAGCATGCAAATTTAGTCCATGGCTGAAAAAGAGCGATTGAGCACAGATTTCAAAGTCACAGGCCCCTGATTAATGAACTGCTACTGTAGGTTTGAAGTGGCGAGTAGAAAGTTGCAGTTTGATGTGCTCATAAATCAACCTGACAAGTGGGTTTCTCAGGCCTAACTTGCACTTGTCAGCAAGCTGCATCAAATATAAACATAATACAAATAAAACACGTTGAAGTAGTTAAATTGATCAGCAGGTATCCTAGACATTGTCTTCAAGCTGCCCATTATGCAAACGTCGAGGAAGCAGTTGTGACCTCCTGAGGCTTTGTTTCTGTTTGGATTTGTGAATAGAATTTCAGACAGCCATCAACTACGGAATAGAAATTGCTCCCGTATTTCTCCGGAGGCTCTGGGCAATCCACATGACTTGCTCCATTATGCAGTCTGTTTTCCAGTGAGCGCATCAGAAGTTTCTCTTTTCCCCAAACTAGAAAGGAAAGGTCTTCCACAGCAGCTTGTCTTTTTCTGAAGTGTGACTGCCTTCTCATACCCTCCTGAGTCGTTGTAGATGCAAGTTTGTCTTGAAATGCCTCACAAAATTGGAACCTATACTTTCGCTGCAAAATAGGGCACTTCATTGCCTTGAATGCCATGCTCCTTGTAATATATTCCAAGAAGAGAGCAAGCTAACAGGCCAGTGAAATGAAGGCTACATCCCAGTTTACTAATAGATCACTGGAGACTATGTTCATGGGCCACTGCAGACTAAACTTAGTCAGTTGGAAAAATAAGAGTGCCTTCGAATCACAGGCTGCTGTAAAAAGTTACACTTTTAGCATAGATAAATTTGTTATCATCTGCCATGAGCTGAGCTTTTTTTTGTTTGAAACAGCTGTTATATACTTTCTCTTGACCCTTTTCTTAAGTGTGTCATTAAGTGTATCTTAGCATTTTCCCTAACACCTAATAGCTTGAATGAATATAATAGAAAATTTCAAATGCTTTCACTGCCTGAGTATTCTACAAATAGCATTATTATTTAATAACTGAGATTAAAGGGAAAGAAGTTGATTTTATGTTTTTGGCTTTCTAGCCTTCACTGCACACTTTACTTTTTGCTGCATTTGCTTTTTCTTCTTGTTCCCCCCTTCTCTTTGTAGCAGCAGCAGCAGCAGCAGTTGGCAGCCCAGCAGCTTGTCTTCCAGCAGCAGCTCCTCCAGATGCAACAACTTCAAAAAAAAAACTTCAGCGTCAGGGACTCATTTCCATCCCACCTGGCCAGTCTGCTCTTCCTGTCCAGTCTCTGCCACAAGGTATTCCAGTAAAATATAATTGGACTAATTCCTAAATTCACAACTTTTTTAAAACCTTTATATTTGCATCCAAATTCAGCATTTTCCCCTTATGACGCTTAAACACACTTTGTAATTAGAAGTTTGTTATTCATATTGCCAAATTTTCTGGAGGCTGTTAAATTTTACAGCATGCTTTTATGGTAAAAAGCAGCTTTTTAGTGGGGTTTTTTTCTAGATAAGAGGTGCATATTTATTAGCCTTATGTGCTGAAAACAATTTCTAATAGCAGCACAATTCAAGCATCATTGCTTTTCTCTGAGGAATCACTGAAATCCGATTTAGTGAAATGTTATTTCATTTAATATAAGCAAACAGGTATAAAATATATCAGACAGTGATATTAAAGCCATTCAAAAGCTCATTTTTTTTTCTTTTTCTTCTAAGAAAATAAAGTGTTTGGTATTGAAAAGCTCTTTGGATCTTCAATTTATGACAAGCGAATTTAGGGACAAGCTTTAGGATTCATTTTCTTTGCTATTCCTTTGTATTAAATAGGTTAAATATGACAACAAGTTTTGAAGGTGGTGATTCCAATAGTAATGACTCATGACTGACAAATAACAGTAAAGACTTTTTTGAAAAAAATTTCCTTTGTCACTTTGATCAGGATTTCTTAATGCTGAAAATGAGCTCAAACTCTACTACTTGAAAGAAAATAGGGCACACACTTTTGAAAAGTAAATTAACTTGGAGATATATTCTGCTTACATTTTAAGATAAGGCCAGAGTCTTCCCATCTTAAGGACTCTGTCTATAACCTGCCAGGTATGTGTTTCTGTTTGTGTTACCATAGAGAGGTGAGCTAAATGTCTGTCATAAAAATTACACAATAGTCTGATCTCTGATGCCCCAGTCCTGAAATGAGCATTGTTTAGACTGTGTTCATGACAGGTAACATTATTTTTAATTGGCCTTTATGCATGTAATTAGTTCCTCCACCAGATAATTATTATGAAATTGAAGCTTCAGAACTCAGGTGATCAGAAGCAGAGTACAAAGTATATAGACAAAAGTGTAGACAAAAACCTACAAACCCAACCAAAAAAAATCAACAAACGCCCCCCAAAAAAACCAACACAAAGATACAAGAAAGACCCACTAAAAACTTCAGTCCCTGGAAATCAGAGATTCCAAATAAATGTCTTAATTCCACACATTGTGTTGTGTGAAAAAGCTATGACACAAACATATCTAAAGTAATAAAAACTGCAGTGAAAAAGAGTCCTATTATGCCAAATATTATTATTTGAGGATAGCAGTGGGGAGACAAGTTGATTCACGAATTTGGAGATGTAAGGCAGGTAATGCTGGGGGTTTTTTGTACCAAGGTGCATTGGACCACAATGGAAAAAGCAATTAAACACAACCTCCCTCTGAACAGCTTTACTTTCTGCAATCTTCTCTTGTGCCATCTGTTGCAAGAGGAATTCCTCAGGTTTTCTCTCACATTAAGCAATCCCCATAGATTTCCCTCAGCACTCCTACCCAATTGCATTGATATTCATTAGTTTAATGCAACACTCATTCATGCACTACTAGTTTAAAAACATAGGAGAAATAATACCTTTCTTAATAGTTTCTAGGAGAATTAGTAAACAGTTCTTTTAAGACCTTTCATTTACACGAAGAAGTACAACCGAGGTCACGACAAAAAAGATTGATACTAAAGAAATAAAAGCTTACAAAATTTTAAAATTAAAATATAGAAGGATTGTTCTTCTTAAAATAATCTCTTTTTTGCTTTTGCCTTGGTATTTTTTTAATTACAAGTAATTCCAGACAAGTATATAATTCTTCCATTTTTAAAATAAACCTTCAGAATTGAATTAAGGTAATACACACTGGATGTGGTAAAAGGATGTTTTTATTCTTCTGCTGTGCTGCAAGATATATAATATGGTCATAGTGAAGGATTTAGGTATGTGTAACACAAATATTTTTATACGCATCCATTTAGATTGCTGAGTGACCAGGATGGCTAGTACAGTGAAAGAAACACAGGAGGATTCATATTGATAAGTTACTGGTCATAAAGAGTCCTGTAAACCACAAATTATTATTGGCAAAGAGACCATAGGGTCTACATTTGTTAGTGTGAAAAAACTTAACTTACAAGTACAGCTGTGAGGTTTGCATATTTTCTTCAAGTATAGTTTCTGCCTTTAAAGAGCAGGAAT